TGCACCGGGCCTCTAGTCTATATATAAAAGCCTAAGCGACTGGCTGACCATCCAGTAGCTATGACATGCACTGGCCACCAGGGGGCAGCTCCTGTGTTGAGTGTCTGCCCCCTGGTGGTTAGTGCACATCATAGCAACTGGTTGTTCTGTCGTTAGGGTCAATTTGCATATTGCCCTCTTGTTATAAAGGACTAGAGGCCCAGTCCACAGATCATGCACCGGTGGGGTCCCTCGGCCTAGCCTGCGGGGATCAGACCAAAACCGGCTCTCCAACATCCCCCAAGGGTTCCCGGATTGCAAGAGGGTGCAGGCCAGGCCGAGGGACCCCACTGATGCACGAATCTGTGCACCAGGCCCCCAGTTTGTGAATATAAGATGGTGTGTCTCAAAGTCCATGTATCTATATCATTTCCTACATTCTGGCTTTTGGTATGATGTATTAGTTTCCTACCCAGTTCTCTGGACTTAGTGTGATAGAACCCATCTCTCCTTCTTAGTGTACTCAATACAGGCCCTCAATGGGATGTGTGTTCAGCACATAATGGCTGTTATTCTTACTCTTAGTGCCAGTAGACTTTGATTGCCAAGGAGAGATTTTGATTATACAAAGGAATATTTCAATTCCCTTAGCTTTATTAATATGTAGGGCTCAAAGTTATAAATCTTAACCTTAGTTGTAAGCTTTACTTTTATTATTTTATCTTAAGCTATATTTTCTCTTTAAGTCTGTTTTTAATCAACATACAGATCTTATTCAAATTACAAATGTACTAACTTTAAAAAATAAGTTATTTTTATTTAATTTTTCCATAAGCTTAATAGAATTCAAATTTGATCAATCAAGCTTCTTTAGATCAAGCTATAATTATAAAATGAATAAATTTCATTCTCTAAATGCAAGACCCTAATAAGATAAATTTGTGATTCTGACTAATATAATCTTCCTAAACACCTGGAAACCTCTGTAATCTAGTAAATTGGCTGATAAATGCAGAGATTAATATTCTTTTATGCATTTTAAACATTCTAAATAAATCACACACAAAATTATGTAGTGATTTCAAAACGTTTTACCACATGCCATAAAGCCTACTTATTCAAAATTGCACTTGATTTTACTTGTTTTTACACAGTCTTGGAGATTCAAATGTTCTCACCCAAACAAAATCACCCCCACTCAGTTGAAAAGTCAGGACTATGGTGTGTGCCACCAATTAAAGACACTCAGACCAATGGAGCCTCCTGTAGGTGGCGACTTGAGGATTGCCAGCTTGCAAGAGCAAGGCTTTCTCAGCATCTCTCAGTCCAGGCAGCAATGAAGAACCTTTCCCTAAAGTGACCTGCCTCTCAAACTGCCTCTTTTTCCAGGTCTTCAGAATTTACTTTCGTTTTGCATGTAATTGTGAATAGTTTACTACATCAAGGTCTAAAATTGCCTGGCCGGCATGGTTCAGTGGTTGAGCATTAACCTATGAAGCAGGAGGTCACGGTTTGATTCTTGGTCAGGGCACATGCTGGGTTGTGGGCTCGATCCCAAGTTTGGGGCCATGCAGGAGGCACGTAAAGAGAGACTCATCCCTCTAGATTCTCTCTCATCAATCATTGATGTTTCTATCTCTCCCTCTCCCTTCCTCTTTGAAATCAATAAAATATATATATATTTTTTAAAGACCTAATATTTATTAATGGCACTGTGAATCGTGAATCTCTTGCTCAGACTGCAATTTTACTCCTTTTCTCTTCTATCATGTGTCTTATAGTGGATACTATTTTTTTAGTACTGTATCCTAGGATCTCTAGTGATGACTCATAGGACATATCTGAACACTTGAAAGTATTCCATATTCAAGAACATGGTCCTGTTAAATTAAGAACAGCAGTCTGTTTTCTTCCTAGCAACACATCCAGAATTTTACTTGTTTCAGTTCAAAATTAGGTTCCAGGATGGTGAGGATCTCAGACCTCTTTCTCTCTTTACTTTCTTCTTTTTTTTTTTTAATCCTTACCTGAGGATATTTTTCCATTTATTTTTAGAGAGAGTGGAAGAGAGAGGGAAAGACAGAGAGAACTATTGATGTGAGAGAAACACATCAATTGGTTGCCTCCTCACATGCCCTGATCAGGGCTCGGGCTGAGGAGGAGCCTGCAACCTCACCTAGGTACGTGCCCTTGACCAGAATTAAACCTGGGACTCTTCGGTCTGCAGGCTGATGCTCAGTCCACTGAACCAAACCGGCTAGGACTCAGACCTCTTTCTAAGTCTTGAATAAATCACGAGAGGTCATCATGTTATGAATTCAGAGCAGCTTATATCTTTATGTTCGCCCTGTTT